CTCTCAGAAGCCATTGGTCCAGCACTGGGTCACGGCACGCCCGAACCTGTCACTGCAGAGGGGAACAGAATTCCCTGCGCCATTCCAGGTGTGCCATAGCTCTCACGTGGACAGAAGCTGGGTCTTACTGGTAGCACAGTGGAAGGAGGTATGCCTGTGGGCTAGACATCCATCAGTGTCTGCCAAAATGTCCGCCTTAGAGTAAAAGATAGGTTTTAGAAGGTGATGACCCATTTTGTATCCACTGAGACTAAAACAACACAGCCAGGGTTCTTTGTGGCAGCAGATCATTGTAGGGGCATTCTCAAAGGCCCCTCCATGTCCGTGCCTCTGCGTGAGTCTCGTGTACACAGCGGGAGAGCTTACTAGCAGGAAGGATGGCATCACTGGAGTCTTGCTGGATGGTACTTCCAATCTCAGCAAAATACCCCAAAGGAAAAAAAAAATATTTGTGGGTTTTTTTCTTTTTGAAAAGTAGGCGGTTGCTCAAATTATTTTTGTTAACTAGTCTGAAAGTGCTAGAATTGATGTATTATACTTTGAAGGTCAAGGAAGCACTCACCTGCATGTGGTTGAATAATGAAGGGATGGATATATATATATATATATTGGAATTCTTACTACTACCTAAGATGGGCTTTTAAATAAAGACTACTTCTCTGGATTAGGGGTTTTTGACATATAGACTGAAATTATAACTGCCTTTATATGATTTGGAAGAGAACAGGTCCATCCTAGCACCCTGACTACACCAAACTTCCATTTACCCTGAATCAAATCTTATCCCAAAATGTCTGAGCCAGCTATCTGTCTGATGTGACCCTGACACCTACCCCGACCCACATGCAAGAATCATGTGAGAGACAAAAATAACTCTGTCCTGTTGCCTGTGGCAGCAGTTGAGAGGGAGCTAGCTCAAAGCTAACTGGGCTGTGGAGAAGCATGAAAACTTAAAATGGTCACAGTGAACTCTGTCTTGGAGGGCCTTTGCCTCTGAGGAATCTTCCTCTTGATTGGCACTATGACTTTAAAGAACAGAAATCCTTACTAAAGAGGCACGTCCTCCTAAGAAATTTAGAAACTGGTAAATAAAAGAATATTTCTTTGCTTTTCACCATAGGCTCATTGGCAGGATCACCTTAGATAGAATTCTCTAAAGTAGATCCCCTAAATATTGGTATAAAACTTAAAGACACTGAGACAGACAAAGCTGTTGTTAATTTCTACAACTTGAAGCTTAATTAGAAGTGAAAATAAATGCCACTAAAATTTCTTTGTACAGATGGCAGCATTATTTAAATTACACAAGACTTTATAAGAAGGCATCTATTTTATTTTTTGAAGATTTTATTTATTTACTAGAGAGAGCATGAGCGGGGTGAAGGGCAGAAGGAACAGCAGGCTGAGCAGGGAGCCCTGGGGCTCCATGTCATGACCCAAGCCGAAGGCGGATGCTCAACCGACTGAGCCACCCAGGTGCCCCAGAATGCATCTATTTTATATATATGTATATTTTTAAAGATTTTATTTATTTATTTGACAGAGAGACACAGCGAGAGAGGGAACACAAGCAGCGGGAGTGGGAGAGGGAGAAGCAGGCTTCCCGCCGAGCAGGGAGCCCGATGCGGGGCTCAATCCCCAGGACCCTGGGATCATGACCTGAGCCGAAGGCAGACGCTTAATGACTGAGCCACCCAGGCGCCCCCAGAATGCATCTATTTTATAAAGAAAAATGCTTTTATGCTTTTCCCAACTGCCTCTGTTAGAGTAAATCATAGGTATATGTTGATGTTGAATGCAGAAAACACCATTATTAAACAAAAGTTTTAAATTATATTGAGCTGTCATAATATTAAGTTAATTGCGCCCTTAAAAATTGGAGATTGGGGCGCCTGGGTGGCTCAGGCAGTTAAGCGTCTGACTCTTGATTTTGGCTCAGGTCGTGATCTCAGGGTCATGGGATCGAGCCCTGTGTCAGGCTCTGAGCTTAGTGCGGAGTCTGCTTGTCCCTTGTCCCTCTCCTCCTGCTCCTCCCCCCCCCGCCCCCATGAGTACACACTCTCTCAAATAAATAAATAAAATCTTTTAAAAAAAAATTGGAGATCAGTTTCTTTTCTAAACTTTTGGTTTCTTTAAGAAAAAAAAATTAATTGAACAGTTAAAACTGCTAAAGAGAATTCTTTCTCTACTTTGCAGAAGAGAAATGTGAGTGATAGCCTCTATGAACCTCTGTGAATCTCCTTACCTCCCTCCCTCCCCACCAACCTGACAGCCCTGCTCCTAGGCCCTGTCGGTGGGGACCACAGGCCAGAGCACAGGTGCCACATCTCAGGAGTTGATCTGAGTGTTCAGGCTGCCAAGGTCAGGGTACAGAATTGGTTTTCTAGTCCAGGCTGACCTGCCAGCTCATCCTGCTTGTTCAGGCAGCTACATTGGTTAATTCACCAAGTATAATCTAACTAGTCTTAGCTGGCCATGGAGTGTAGTTATCTCTAAAAATGTAGAGAATCAATTTAGGGGCCTGGCTGGCTTGGTCAGTGGACTGGGTGGCTCTTGATCTTGGGGTCATGAATTCAAGCCCCACATTGGGTGTAGAGATTACTTAAAAAAAATAAATTCAAAAAAAATTTTTTTAAATACAGAGAATCAGTTGGGGCACCTGGGTGGCTCAGTCATTAAGCGTCTGCCTTCGGCTCAGGTCATGATCCCAGGGTCCTGGGATCAAGCCCCGCATCAGGCTCCAGGGAGCCTGGTTCTCCCACTCCCCCTCCCCCTGCTTGTGTTCCTTCTCTCGCTGGGTCTCTCTCTGTCAAATAAATAAATAAAATCTTTAAAAAATAAATATAGAGAATCAGTTTATTATTTTTTTTTAAGATTTTATTTATTTATTTGACAGAGAGAGAGACAGCGAGAGAGGGAACACAAGCAGGGGCAGAGGGAGAGGGAGAAGCAGACTCTTCACTGAGCAGGCAGCCCCATGCGGGCTCTATCCTAGGACCCTGGGATCATGACCGGAGCCAAAGGCAGACACTTAACGACTGAGCCACCCAGGTGCCCCAAGAATCAGTTTAAATAAGAAAAGGTAAACATTTCCATTTGAGTAGACCCAAAAGCCCCAGGGGGGAAAGAATGGATGGGAAATGAACAGGCATGTTGGCAAGAGAAAGGAAAAGAATTCTTGGACAGATAATTATCAAAAATTAATTTCAAAATATAGCTCACCTAGGAGTCTAGGCCTATAAATCAACCTTTATTTTAAATATCTCTAAAGAACTTTTAGAGTACTTATTTTAAAATTGTGTTCGGGCGCCTGGGTGGCTCAGTCGTTAAGCATCTGCCTTCGGCTCAGGTCATGATCCCAGGGTCCTGGGATCGAGTCCCACATCGGGCTCCCTCCTCGACGGGAAGCCTGCTTCTCCCTCTCCCACTCCCGCTGCTTGTGTTCCTGCTCTCGCTATCTCTGTCTCTGTCAAATAAATAAATAAAATCTTTTTAAAAAATAAATAAAAATAAAATTGTGTTCATTCTGTATAAACTTAATGAGTGCCTATTGTCTTTAGAAAGTATTTTTGTCTTAATTTTTAGTTTATTACAAATTTAGTTATTACAGATTACATGGCAGTGGTAATAGAAAACAAGTTACAGCATTTCCCAGGCATTTTCAGAAAATCATCCTTCCCTCGCCTCTCCCCACTTCTAGCAGGGACAGATATAAAATATAAAAAGCAAAAGCTAAAAAGACACAGCCTGACCCAAAGCAAGATGGGTGGCATCTCCATAGATCAGAAACAGGGTAGAACTGCTGAATGTCATGGGAAGGCCGCTGCCTGCCCAGCCTTGTGTGGCTAGTGTTCGGACCCTTGGAGTAGCGGGAGCCCAGGTTCCCAGTGGAAAGGATACCAGGGGCTGAGACTTTTAGAAAGATGTGGGCTTAGGTAGGGAGAGGACACAGATGCAGTGCACAATAAAAGATGGAGCCAAACCACCCCCTGATTCCATGGCTCTGCCTGCAGTATTCTCTGTATCACCTTGGTGGGAGCCTCACAAGTAAGCCCTTCACCAACTGGAACATGAATTTACTTCAGATGAAATGAATTTTATAGCATGGCCTGACAAGGAACTTAGATATGTTCAAGATGTTCAAAAGTAAATGAAGGAATAACTTTTAATTTAAAAGAACAAAAAATCATGGAAACAAGGCATACATAATGGAAACAGATATGTGAAGAACAGGTAGAAATGAAAAATGTCAAATGACTAGAGATGGGATAGCCCTAGTTTTGGTAGGCTGAAAAGAAAATCAATTGGAATAAACTGAAAAATGTGCCTGTGATTCATCAGAAAGACACAGATCTAAAAAAAAAAAAAAAAAAAAAAATACCAAAGGGCCAATGGGAGATACAGAGTATATGCTTGAAGGTCTAACCACTGTATGAAGTTGTCTCTTCCCAGTCACTCTCTGTCCATCACATCATTCTGTGCATCTCTGTCAATACTTGTCACCACGTTTATGTACTTGTTAACGTATGCCTTCCTGAGCTGCTTCTACAAGGTGCTGAGCTCTGTTTTGGGCATACTGTATACAGAAAAGCCAAGAACGAGTCAGATAAGGATCTTGCTTTCTTGGATCTTGTGTTCTAGCCTATTCATCACTATACCTCTGACACATATTAGGCAGTCAGTGTATTTGTTGAATGAATGAATGAATGAGTGAATGAAGTAATTAATACCTCAAAATATCTTCTGTGTGGCTTCATGGCCTTGATTACCTGCTATGTTTGGCCGGCATTGCAGGAGTGAGAGAGACGGGGAGGAGATGAGAGAAATCCTCCTTCCCCAGAGCACACTCTGCTGTTACCAGTCTGTGATGCTCAGGAAATAGTGGTGTGACCTCCTTAGACCTAGAGTCCTCCTAAGGTGTTCCTCTTGGGTTGTGATTGATAATGAGACCAGCAATATAAACAATATTAATGCGCTAATTTTTCTTCTTCACTTTTCAGGCTGGAGTAAAAGGGACATTGGGAAGATTAGTTGGAATTTTTGAGGTAAGCCTGTTAAAATCTTCGGTGCAATTGGAATCATATTAGTAACCATGTAATATAAATATGTATATCTTTGTCTGAGTCCTTTCGAGCTGCTATAACAAAACTGAGTGGCTTATAAACAATAGAAATGGATTTCTCACAGTTCTGGAGACTAGGAAGTCCAAGATCAAGGCACCAGCAGATTCAGTGTCTGGTGAGGACCCACTTCCTGGTTCATAGTTACAAGTTTCTCCTACTATCCAAAAGTAGAGTGTTTGTAGGAAACCTTTTGTAAGTCAAAATGGTAGAAAGTGAAGAAGCAATTAATTTATGTGGACATTTTTTTTAGCATTTCCAAAACCAAAAAATAACCTCTCTCAGGCTTTTCGGAAACCTCAGGATACATGTTGTTAACGGATGCAAGAAATAAGTCAAGCTAAAGCTCAGGTGTGCAGAGCCCCAGTTCATGGCTTTGGCGGCTCGATGAGGAAGTGCTGGTGTAGTTCCCGGGGAAGGAGTCTGGCCGGAGCGCGCCCGCTGCTCCACGGGAGCACTGCCTCTGTGATGGCTCGCTGCGCCAGAAATGCCCAAGGCTCCTTTTCCTTTCACCTTTTTTTTTTTTTTAGAAACACAAGTTCCTCTTAGGATTTCTTTCGGTTAGCAAAAACAGGTACTGATGTAGGTCTTTCGTAAAAGTGAAGTGGCTTACCTAGAGCTCTTGAAAAGCAAGGGGTACTTGTAGCTGTTTCTCTCTGTGTTCTCACATGGCAAAGGGGGATGGTCGCTCACTGGGGCCTCTCTTATCAGCTGCCAACCCCATTCCCAAGAGTCAGCCCTTCTCAACCCAATCAGCTGCCAGAGGCCCCACCTCCTAATACTATCCCACTGGGAGTTAGGATTTCAACATCTGAATTGTGGGGGGCATAAACATTCAGTCCATTGCGTTCCTAATCTGGGGTAGACGCCATCTTTGTTTCGCTGCGTTTTCAAAACAAAGCAGCACTGGCAGAGAATAGCTTACTTTCTTTTTTAAAAGTCCCATAGTCTCCTCCAGACAAATAGAATTATTTGTAAGTACAGGCATTACCTCAGAGATACTGTGAGTGCAGTTCCAGACCACTGCAATAGAGCAAATATTGCAATAAAGCTAGTCAAATGTTTCTTTGATTTTTGTCAGTGCATATGAAAGTTATATTTATACTGTATTGTAGTCTCTGAATATATACTTACGATGTCTGTATTAATGTCTATGCCTTAATTTAAAAATGCTTTATTGCTAAAAAACGCTAACCATCATGAGCTTTTTGCTGGTGGAGGGTATTGCCTCCGTGTTGATGGCTGCTGACTGATCAGGGTCATGGTTGCTGAGAATTGGGGTGGCTGTGGCAATTTCTTAAAATAAGAAGGTTTGCTGCCCCGATCAACTCTCCCTTTCATGAACAGTTTTTCTGTAGCAAACGATGTTGTTTGATAGCATTTTACCCACAGTACAACTTCTTTCAAAATTGGGAGTCCATCCTCTCAAACCCTACCGCTGCTTTATCAACTACGATTATGGAGTATTCTAAATCTTCTCTTGTCACTTCAACAGTCTTCACAGAATCTTCACCAGGGGTAGACTCCATCTCAAGAAACCACTTTCTGTCCTCATCCGTAAGAAGCAGCTCCTCATTTCTTCAGGTTTTATCATGAGATTGCAGCAATTCAGTCCCATCTTCAGGCTCCACTTCTTTTTCTTCTTCTTTCTTTCTTTTTTTCTTTCTCTTTCTTTCTTTCTTTTCTTTCTTTCTTTCTTTTCTTTTCTTCTCTTTTCTTTTCTTTTTTCTTTCATAGCACAAGCACAGGGCGGGTGGAGGGAGAGACAGAGAAGGAGAGAATTTTAAGCAGACTCCGGGCTGAGCATGGAGCCCGGTGCAGGGCTCAATCTCACGACCCTGAGATCATGACCCGAGCCGAAACCAAGAGTTGGGTGCTTAACTGACTGCAGGTTCCACTGATTCTACTTCTCTTGCTATTTCTACCACATCTGCAGTTTCTTCCTCCACTCAAGTCTTGAATCCCTCAAAGTCCTTCACGAGGGTTGGAGTCAACTTCTTCCAAACTCCTGTTCATGTTGATATTCTTTACCTTTTTCCATAAATCACCACTATTCTTAATGGCATCTAGAATGGCGAATCCTTTCCAAAAGGTTTTCAATGGACTTTGCGCAGATCCGTCAGAGGAATTGCTATCTCTGGCAGCTGTAGCCTTATGAAGTGCATTTCTTAAATAGTAAGACTTGCAAGTTGGAATGACTCCTTGATCCATGGTCTGTGGAATGGCCGTTGTGTTAGCAGCATGAAAACATTCATCTCGTTGTCCGTCTCCATCAGAGCTCTTGGGTGACAAGGGACACTGTCAATGCACAGTCATATTTTGAAAGGAATCTTTTCTTCTGAACAGTAGATCTCAACAGTGGGCTTTAAATATTCAGTAAACCATGTTGGAAACAGATGTGCTGTCATCCCCATTTATAAGAGCACAGGCAGAGTCAATTTAGCTTTATTCTTGAGGACCCTAGGATTTTTGGAATGGTCATTGAGCACTGGCTTCAACTTCTAAGTCACCAGCTGCCCCTAACCAGAGAGTCACTCTGTCCTTTGAAGCTTGGAAGCGAGGCACTGACCTCTCTAACTATGAAAGTCCTAGATGGCATCTTCTTCCGATAGAAGGCTGTTTTATCTTACACTGAAAATCTGTTGTTTCATGTAGCTCCCGCCACGGATGATCTGAGCTAGATCTCCTGGAGAACTCGCTGCAGCTTCTCCACCAGCACCTGCTGCTCCTTCTTGCACTTTAGTGTTATGGAGACGGTTTCTTTCCTTAACCCTCATGAACCCACCTCTGTTCGCTTTACACTTTTCTCCTGCGACTTCCCCACCTCTCTCAGCCTTCATAGAATTGAAGAGAGCGAGGGCCTTGCTCTGGGACAGGCTCTGGCTTAAGGGAAGGTTGTGACTGGCTTGATCTTCTATCCAGACCACTCAAACGTTCTCCATATCAGCAGTAAGGCTGTTTCGCTTTCTTGTCATGCATGCGTTCACTGGAGTAGAACTTTCAATTGCCTTCAAGAACTTTTCCTTTGCATTCACAAATTGGCTAACTGGTTCGAGAGGCCTAGCTTTCAACCTGTCTTGGCTTTTCAGCATGCCTTCCTCACTAAGCTTAATCATTGCTAGCTTTTGATTTAAAGGGAGAGTAGGAGATGTGCAACTCTTTCCCTCACTTGAACATTTAGGGGCCACTGTAGGGTTATTAATTGGCCTAATCTTTTTTTTAAGATTTATTTGAGAGAGAGATAGAGGAGCACGAGCAGGGGGAGCAGCAGAGGGAGAGGGAGAAGCAGACTCCCTGCCAAGCAGGGAGCCCAAAGCGGGACTTGATCCTAGGACCCTGAGACTACAACCTAGCCAAAGGCAGACGCTTAACCAACTGAGCTACACAAGCGCCCTGCGTTGGCATAATCTTTTTTTTTTAATATATATTTTTTTAAGATTTTATTTATTTATTCATGAGAGACAGAGAGAGAAAGAAGCAGAGGGAGAAGCAGGCTCTCAAGGAGCAGGGAGCCCGATGCAGGACTCGTTCCCAGGACCTTGGGATCGTGACCTGAGCTGAAGGCAGATGCTTAACCATCTGAGCCACCCAGGCGCCCTGCGTTGGCCTAATCTTAATTTTGTTGTGTCTCAGGGAATAGGGAGAATGACAGCGAGAGACGGGAATGGCTAGTCAGTGGAATTTATTGATTAAGTTTGCTGTCTTATATGGGCGTCCTTTGTGGCACCCTAAAACAATTACAATAGTAACATCAACAGGGGCGCCTGGGTGGCTCAGTCATTAAGCGTAGAGGCTGGGTAGAGGTTTGGAGGAAGGTGGAAGGAAGTGAGAAATGGGGAAATAAAGATGAGGAAAGTTAGTAGAAGGGGAGATGCACCCGATAATCAGCTTGCTGGCATTGATGGAACCTCCACCCACCCACAGCCTCTTCTCTTTCTTGTGTTCTAGCGAGTTACATTTACTTGGTGCCTTTTTCTTGAGAGGTCACAAACTTCCTTCCCACAGCCTTCCTGTGAAGTTGTATTTAGGGAAAGGGGAACGAAAAAAGAGATTAAAATTTGGGCTTTAGAAGGCCAGCCAAAGAGCACAACCTTAAATGCAAATGCGGCATGTTTTAAATAGGCCATCTGGCGCTATTCCATGTCTGATTGTAGGATGATTAAAAGTAAAAGGAATGCTTGTGTCTGAGCTCTCTGGACATATGGCTAAGAGTGTGTTTCACTCAAGTAATCTCAGCTCTTTAAGGGAAAGCTCTTCCTGTGTCCTTCTCTCTTTGCCCTTCAGAACCAGGAGAGGAAGCACAGAACGTATGTCTATGTGCTCATTGTCACAGAAGTGCTGGAAGACTGGGAAGATTCAGTTAACATTGGTAAGTTGTCCCCAGATAGCCTCCAAAATGCTCCCCACCACGGGCCCTTGCCACGCCACAGGTCATGACCCAGACCCAGAAACGAGCCTGATGAAAGAAACCATAGAAGGGTATGTTTAATGAAACAAGCATGTCCATTTTGAACTTCTGAAAGTAGTGTTTTGAAATGTTCAAAAGGAAGCTGAAGGTGGATACCTGGTCAACAAATAGAAACATGCAGATAAAAATAAGAAAGGTGGTTTCTGAAGCTGAATTGGACCTCCACAGCAGATACTGACCCTCCTCCACAATGGCCACGAAACCCCAGCTGGGAGCAGGACCTTGGCTGTTCCTTGTGATGCTTATTCATATTGTTGGAGAAAGCTGCTGGTTTGGTGGGGTGAGCTGCTCCCTCCAGAGTAGTGGGAGCAGTTTCCAGTTACATCCATACTCCCCTTCGGGTGCCCCTCCCTTTCTCCTGAGGAGCCATTCTCTTTGATCTCTCAGATCACTTTTGGGTGTGTGTCTTTGGAACTAAAAACTTAGGTGATTTAATGGTCGGTTCCTGGTTTAATCTTTTGCCTCTGAAGGAAAGTATATTCTAGAAAAGTGTAATATTTAAAAACCAGTTATAAATTGGCAAACAGATAAAATCCAATTGCTGAAATGTCTCCCTTTATTGTGCGTATGTGCTTTGTCACCATGCCCCTCACACTGCTGGTCTGAGCATTTCATGGCCCTTCGGCTTTTAACGGCCTTGTATGTGGTAAGAATGCAATATGCTTAAGTAAATAAATTCAGTAGGGGTTTATTAAAAATAGCCTCCTTGACAGCCAGTGCTAGGGCTTAAAAAGGAGACAGAGATGAGTGTGGCATGGCCCTGTCCTCAGAGCACTCTGTCAGGCGGGAGTCACACACTTGTGATACGAATTTTCAAGGTACCATTGCTCTATTAATATCCAACAAGCCTTTCACCTTCTACTACTTCCGAGAATTGAAATATTGAAATAATCTAAAATACGGAGAATAAGCCTATGAGCCTTCCTTCAGATGAGCCTCTTTCAGGTGGAAATTGGCTTTTAAACTATGCCTCAGTGAAGGATAAGTGCTCTGAGGTACATTCATCTGACAGAATGTTGCACAGCTGTTAAACACGGACTTCTGAAAGCTAATATAGCATGGCAAAGGGCTTGTGAATCGGGGTTGGTGAATGAAAAAAGCAGCGTACAGACTTCCATGTACAGTTAGAGCGACATTAAAATAGGAATTTGAAATGAAAACAAAAATGAGGTACTCGTTTTCACCTAAAGAATTGGCAATGGCAGAGGAAAAGGTAGCAGTGCTGACGGGGAGGGTAGTGAGAACGACATTCCAGCACACACAAGCAGGACTGGGGATTGGGATGGCCCTTCTGAAAAGCAGTTTGGCATCATATAACACGAGGCCTTTAGAGTTCAAATGTTTTATTCCTATACAGATAAAGGGTTTTGGTTGTTTTTTTGTTTTTTTGTGTGTTTTTTTGAAGAGCAAAAGTGCTGGGGGTGTGGGGGGGAGAAGGGAGGAAAGAAAATCCTAAGCAGGCTCCATGCCCAGCACAGAGCCCAGACGCAGGGCGCGATCTCACAACCCTGAGATCGTGACCTGAGCTAAAATCAAGATTCAGACGCTCTACCGCCTGAGCCATCCAAGCACCCTGCATATTTTTTTATAACACAGACAAGCGCTTAAGAAACAATGTGAAGTAAAAAAAGAAGCAATAATAATAATACTAATAAGCAAACTCTTACAGCATATACTGTGTGCCAGGTATCATTCAAATATCTTACGTATTAATCCTCACAGCAGACTTGTGAGATAGGTACTATTTATTATCTCTACAGATGAGGAAGGTGGGGCACAGCTCAGTACCTAGTTAGTAACCTGCCCCAAACTGACCGTTCATTAGAGCCAGTGATGAGATTGGAGCCTAGCATGTTAGCTCCAGCATCCGAAAGCATGATCCCAGTGATAGTTGTTCAGTGCAGTGTCTTTTTCAGATACGATGAAAGAAAAGCAAAGACATGAAGGTATTGAGAGTAGTCATTTCTGGTTTCTTATGTTGTGGGTAATTATATTCTTATACTTTCTTCCATTTTCCTAATGTTAAGCAATGATCTTTTATTATAAGAGAAAAAATAAAGGATTTTTAAAAAATTGAAAAACAAGTAAGAAA